CCCTCCCCTGTAAAAGAGGTGTGGGTAAGAGAAGAGAAACACCTTGATCACCTCCTGATCAGTTACCGGCAAGTGCTCTCACTCACACCTGCCTCAATTTCAAAGTAACCCAATTAGGGGAACAGGCTCACATGATGGCTGAGAAATGCCTGTATCGCTAGGCCAGGGAGGGCTGGAGATGGACACAAGGACCACAGCACCATCTTCTAGGCAATGATTCATAAAGCCACTCTGAACTGCCGCAGACACACCACCTGGGTCCTGTGAGCGGCTGGCCCCCGCACCCGGCCTACCTTTGTTGTGTCTGAATGCTTGTTCTGCAGTTGCTCCAAATACAGCTCGTTGACCTCCCCGAGAACCAGCAGCTGCCTGTTCAGAAACTCCATCTGCTGTTGGACTGACTCACTGTTTGAGAGCTGAGCAAAACACATGAATAAGCCATGAAAGATTCGACAAAACACAACTGCCAAGTGGCCATCAGGGAATGAGCCAGAAGTAGGCCGTTTCAGTGCGAGGGCAGAGACGACTACTCCCACAGTTTTCAATCCCCTGATACACGCTGGAGCAAAGAAAGGCATCCAGGGACAATGAAAATCGACAGAAATGCACTTCAAAATGGAGCCGGCAAAGGGGAAGAGGTACCCATGCCCACATCAAAGGTGGCCACTCCAGGACGCCTAGAGAAGATGGGTATGGGCAGGACCACAGCAGGGACATTCGGTTCTGGCAGTAAAGGCCCAGGGAAGACTCACCGCTCTTGACTAAGCGATTCCTAGCAGTGCAGTGAATCCCAAAGAGAGAGGGATCACAGCTCCAAACTCTGAACAAACTTCGCACATTTACGCAAACACAGTGTGGAGGACCTCCTGGGACATGCACAGGTGAGGGCAAGGGCCAGTGGTCCCTGCTGTGGAGACCGTCCTGTACACACAGGTGTTTAGCAATACCTGGCACCTGCCCACTCCATGTCAGTAACACCAACAATGTCTCCAGATTTTGCCAAATGCCCCCTGGGGGGAAGGGGCTGACTCCCTCCCTCACACTGACACACCCACCTGAAGGAGTGACGTATCTGTCCCCTCTGAAGGAGCGTCAGCAGTACTGGGAGGACAGCTCAGCTCGCCCCACGTCTTACCTTCTGAGACACCTGGCTGAGCAGCAGCTCTGTGTGGCACACCTTGCTGTTGGCCTTCTTCAGTTCCAGGCGCAGCTCTGCCACCATGTTCCTGAAGTCCTCCAGTTTTGTCTGTCCAAAGAGATGCCATGTGGTCAGAGTGCCAGCAGGCCCGCTCCCAGAGAGCCACCAGATCCTGGTTCCTCGGTGGCCCATCAGGAATTAATTCTTAGTTTTAAAAAGCAAGTTATGGTGGGTTTCTGACTTCCTAATTTGTTAACAAAGGGATAAAAGGCCCCAGTTCCCAAACTGCACCAAAGAATCCTGGGGCCATGCAGTCAACTCCCAGGAACCTTGCAGGACAGTTTATTTTTGAGGGAAACACAGTGCCATCTGCTGGTCATTGTGTGCACTACTGGCTGGAGGTTCAGTTTCAGGAAGAAGTGTCCCTGCCCTTGGATGACGCCATCTCTTTGCAAAGGTGAGCTTCAGTTGGTCAAAGTGCTAAAAACCCCCAGGGGGAAACCAGTGTGAAAGAGGAAATGAGGGTGATTCCAGGGTCTGAAACTCTGTGCAGTGCCCAAAAGGTGTACACATAGCATTGGTAAGCAATTGTGTCATTTAAAAATGAATTTAAATTTTTAAATTTATGTATATTATTTCAAACAGCTACTAAGGTGTCAGAACAACTACTCACTAAGTTGTTTAGATCTGCTTAATAAGCAGATTTTCAGGTGTTTGTTTTGGCTGCAGAGTACCAGGAAAAAATTATTGAAACGTTGAGGGACCTATGAACCAAGAGAGCTGGGGACCTCTGCCCTAAATAAAATGGACCTGCCATGAGATCCAGCAGCTGTGGTTTCCGAGAGGAAAGGGTTCACCTCCAGTACGATGAGCAAGGTGCTGCGTGCCCTCTCCGGTGGACTGCCAGGCGTGGCAGTGCGTACCTGCAGTTCCTGGCTCTGGTTGTAGAACTCTTCACGGTCATGCTGCAGCTGTCTGATCTGGCTGTGCAGCTGGGTGACCACCGTGTCTCGCTGCTCCTGGAGCTGGCTGTATCTGGCCTGTTCTTTCTGCAGACTAACCTTCCATATCTGGATGTCTTTCTCTTGTAACTTCAACTGGTCTTTCTAGCAGAGACCAAAGATGTCATCATTTTAGCTGCCTTCCAACATGGGCAGTGATACTCAAGTTCAAATGCAAACATTTCATCTAAAGTCTTAGCTACCCTGTAACTAACAACAGACCTAGAACCTGACCGCTTGCTACTGTCTAACTGGGCTTTAACTCCAGAGTTACCAAGTTTCACATTAGCAAAGGTCACTAAAGTGATGCACATTAATGAACGCTCACCCTGCGCCAGGCACTAAGCAAGTGCTGCTATTCCTCTCATGTTACACACCAGGTAGCAGGCTGCAGGGGGCTGACTTACTTTCCTAAGTGGCAGAGCCAGGGTCCAATCTCCAGGTCTAACTGGCTTCACAACTGTGCAGTAAGGATTTAGCCATAAAACAGCTTCAGCAGAGCTGGTCTCATATTTGGAGAAACAAAATAATCTTTTGACCCTGTTTCATAGTAGCCAATTACAAACATACAAAAAAATCAGTTGTTCCCACAGTTTCCAAGAACTGCAAGGGAGCTCAGAGACACGGCCAATCACGTGTTAACCTCAGAGATAAGGTGGGCTGCCCAAGCCACACCAGTGAGCAAAGCAAGGCAGGGAACTCTGACTCGGCTCAGGGCTGCTCTTTACAGGCAAGGAATGACCACCACCCCGCCACCTGCCCCCCACCACACTCACCATCGCAGCGTTGTGCTCCTCCAGAGCCGCTGCTCTGATCACCCTGCGGAGGAGACGCCTGTTCCGGACAGCATGCTGCTGCCTTTTAAAACGCTCATAGAGCAACTGGTTGTGCAGTAAAAGCAACTGGTTACGGAGGGTGCGGATCTCATCTGAGGGAGGAGAGCCTGATTTTAAAGCAGAGGGAGGGTGGCAGAGATGCCTTTTACATATCGTTCAATCAAGCCCCCGCCCGTGGTCTCTTAGCTTAAGAAATCAATTCTTTAAGAAACGAGTTGCCGCTCACTTGTCAAACCACTTGGTTCCCTGCACCAGTCATTCATTAGGAGACAAGGAAGCATTTACCACTTATCTCCCTTTACAGGATCACAACGGGCATAATGTGGGGTGACTCCTTGAGAGCATTCTTTATTTTCCCCCACAAACTGGACCCATATGCATGCACTTCTGAGATTCCTTTTCTTCCTTCCCTGGTATGTTTTCCCCCAAGAACTCTAACAGTACCATTTACTGCACTTGGAAGCTGGGAGTGAGGTCTGCACTTTTTACAATTCTACTGCCAAGTGCATGGTCTTTGACACTTTTCAAAAACAGGAAATGCTGACTTTGCAACACTTGAGATACTCTTTAGCCAAGCAGACAAAGGGGCTGGAACAGTAGCAAAGGGGAGATGTTTCCTATAGGGCACCTCCCAAAGGCAACAAGCAGGATCGTGTGGGCTGGATTTGGAGCTAAAGTAACAACTTTACCTCCAAAGTGGGTCCAGTCGACAGACTTGCTGGGTAAAGACAACCTAGGAAGAAAGTTTTTGAATCACAAAGTTACCAATCTTACCTAGAAGAAACTTATCTGGAATTTTCACTGTGGCAAGGTTAGGTCACTTTCTTGTGGCATAAGAAAGTCTCCAACTGCGAGTCCACGGTGAAGTCAGCGGAGGAGCCTTACAGGCCACTCAAGGGCCAGTGCCCCAGGATGTGCACCCAAGTCTCTGGTGTGAAAAGGCCCAACGCTGAGCTCACTCTGCGGCCTGCATGTTCTGCTCAGATCTCCAAGGACTGGTGACCGAACACGCTGAGAGCTACCTGCTTTCAACCCTCTATTGAAATACATGAGGAGTAGCTCTGGGTTATGAAGCTCCTGTCACCCAAGTTTAAGGAAAAATCAGGTAATTTACCTGGGCCTATTACACTGGATTTCATTAAAAAAGAGATCTTAGTCCTGGCAGGTGTGGCTCAGTTGGTTAGAGCGTCATGTTGTGCACCAGAAGGTTGAAGGTTTGATTCCCAGTCAGGGAGGCATATGGAGGCGACTGATCAATGTTTCTATCCCACATCAATGTTTCTTTCTCCCCTCTCTCTCTCTCCCTCTTTCCCTCCTTCCTGCCCTCTCTAAAATCAATCTTTAAAAAGAGAGCGATCTTAAATACCGCAATCTCTGTCGTGTTCTACTTTAGATGATCACACAGAAGAAAAATGAAAAACTAACATTCCCCAAGAGCCTATTGAGAAATGGCAGAGGATTCAAACTTCCCTTACCCTTTCCTTGGACATCCTTTGAAAAGAGTAATAAAAGTCAGACACACACACAAAAAAAAGTCAGACAAGAAAAAAAAGAGAAAAAAAATTAAAAAATAAAAGGTTGTAAAGTGTCTCAGATCTAAGAAACCACGTGCGCCATCCTGGGGGAGGGGCCACATGAACTTGCACCAAAAGGCTGTAAATTTTATCTTCTACCTAATGAGCTGTGACAGCAAACAGAAAAACCACCCGTAGCTAGACAGACAGGGACCCTGTGACAAACATTCCTATACTTGAAATACCATAACCTCACCCTCCAATTCTGAGAGCAAGTGTGGAAGCCTCTGAACTTCCTCAGAGTGCAGTGGACAAATGGCCCACGTAAAGAGAGAAAGACTCGTGTTAAAATGGGACATCTTATAAGGGATGACCAGTTCAGTGTGCACGTCTAGAGGACACACACAGTCATGTACAAAAAGGCAGCCGGATGGAGGGATGTCTGACCAAACAGGAGGAGCAGCGGCTCCCAGATGGAGCATGATGGTCTGCACCCTCCCGAGTTCTGATCCCACATACAACTGACCCTGTGGAAGACTGGAGCCCACGCACCTTACCTGCTCAGCTCTTTGCTGTGTGCATCAGCACCCTGCTGGATCAGCCTGTCCAGTACCTCCAGCGGGGAGGCAGAGGGTGTGCAGTCTTCCTCTACATTTCCTGGTGCTTTCTTTAATAGTTCCTCAGTCTTCTTGCTGACAAAATGATGGGCAGTCTTTGGCAATGCCACCTCGAAAAGATGATCGTAGGGGGGAGGCTGCCTACTTCCAAAGCCCACGCCTCTCTGAGAAGGAATTTTGCAAGGGCTGGGAGTGAGGATGCTGGTCTCCAGAGGCGTCTGGCGCTCCCTGCTCCCGGCAGGGCTCTCGTCGGCGCCCCCACAGGGCAGCTCTATGGGAGTAAAGGCTTGCTTTGGTGTGTCAGGCCCAGGCTTGTCCAGCGAGGAGTTCAGAGGCTCGGGGTGCACACTGGCGCCCTGAGCGCTGGAGACGGCTGACGGGGTCTTCCTCGGACAGCCCAGGAAGCTATCTTGGTAGAAGGGAGAGTCAAAGCCTCCTCGAGGAACCAGAGGCTCAGCGTCAGCCGTCGTGATCTCAGAAAGTTCTTTAGATATTGCCGCTAAGGGGAGGGAGGGCGACAGACACACCACAGTAAGAAGGCGATCCGGGCAGGGCCAGGCAGTGGGGTGGCAGGCTGCTGTGTGCCACCCAGAGGGAAAGACAGAAAGCGGCATCCCTTTACTTGGCACTGGGCCCAGAATAAAAGTCCCATCCTTTTCCCCCAAGCAAGCCTGGGAGTGTAGACTCTAAGCCCGGTTTCAGGGTTTTACCATCTCCTACAACCTCTAGGCCCAGGACCCCATGGCTCTTACCTTCCTCTTTATCTTTCTCAATGCTGTCTTCTTCAGAGGCCAGGTCGCCTAAGAACCCTGGAAGATCACTGAGAGTGACGGAACCCTTGCTGGCAGGGAGTTCTTCTAAAGAGAAACAGACAATTCAAGTCAAAGGAACACGCTGGAAGCTGCCACACCGTGCAACTGCTGCCGCCACCACGGAGGACGCCGTAACGGTCCTCCCTGCTGAACAGAAAGGCCAGGAACAGCTCTCCCAGGGCCGCTACAGAGAGCTAAGCACTACCAATCCTCTCACTGAAGGTGCCAAAAACTAACCCCACAGGAAACAAAATTCTCCGTTCTCAACACTCAAGAGACCAGATAAAACTGCAGCTTGGCCAGCTCAACACGTAGGTACTTCACTGTGATACTTAAAAACTGCATCTGCTGTTACTATCAGGCTGGCATTTAGATTAAGCACACAATTCGCTACCTCCAGGCCTCAGTGTTCACACTATTCCCGAATCTCCCTATTTCCACGAGGAGACAGGAGAGACAAGCGAGGCCTGACATCGCGCGGGACATTACCTAGTCCTCGGTCGCTGGGGATATGGTGTTGTCTGTGCAGACAGGGCCTGGCCGATTCCATTCTCTCCTCCTGAAAAGGTAAGGTACCGCTTACATCACAGGGCAAGGCTGAGGACATGTCCCCAGGTGTAAAAGAAATATCCCAAATAGCTACACTTTTAGTAGATATTAAAGGGATGTAAAGGGTTCACCAACTGTTTGGTCTCAGGATGCCTTGATAGTCTTAAAAATTATTGAGAATCCCAAGAATTTTTTTTATGTGGTCATATCCAGTGACAGTTATGGGATTAGAAACTGAAAGACGAATTTAAACTATTTTCATTACTCAAAAATAATAAATCCCTTGCATGTAAACATAAGTAACATGTACTTTTATGAAAAAAAATCTGTATTTCCCCATGCAAGAATGGACGAGTGAGGAGAGCGCAGCTGATTTACATTGTTGCAAGTTGAACACCTGGCTGAATGGAAGAAAGCTGGGCTCTCCTGTCTGCCTCTGCCTGCAATCTGTTGCGATATGGTATTCTGGATAAAGCATTTGAAGAAAATCCCAGGCCCCACAGATGAGCAGTGGTAAGAAGCAGATGTATGTTAAGACTCTGCCGATAGACTTTACCGGGGCTAGCCATCTTTCACACTGCACCCAAACCCGACGGTTATTTCCTACAGGTGAGTCATGACATGAAATCTGAAGCCACGGCAGTTCACCTTCCACACGGTGTGTATCCACTAGTCTGCCTCTACCTGAACGCACCTTCCACCTGTGTGAGGCTGCAAGATCGCAGTGCGGGCATTTAGCAAATACTGGCTCACCAAGTTACGCATACGCTGCAACATTTCACTAGATGACGCAGAAAACTCAACTCAGGAACCAGACACTTCAATCTCCTCGTGAAAGTCTACAGGAAGCTACCACTGGTGGTGGCCGAACCAGTATTTTAATATTCTAATTTCACCTGAAAGGTGAATTTATCATTGGCAACAAATACTGTGTTATTTATCTTGAAGTGACAGGCTCAGTTTGTCTTTTAACTAACTGCCAGACATGCTCAGTTCTGAATAACCGCAGTAAGTCAGCCAAATGCTCTTTAAACTAAAACTGGCGCCCAGCCGGGCATGGCTCAGCGGTTGAGTGTCGCCCTAGGATCCAGGCGATCGGGGTTCGATTCCCAGTCAGGGCACATGCCTGGGTTGCGGGCTCAATCAATGACTCTCTGTGTTTCTGTCTCTCTCCCTCTCCTTTCCTCTCTCTGAAATCAATAAAGATATGTTAAATAAATAAATAATAATAAAATAAAATAAAATAAAATAAAATAAAATAAAATAAAATAAAATAAAAAACTGGCGAGCCCCGCCGGGTGTGGCTCAGCGGTTGAGCACNATAAATAAATAATAATAAAATAAAATAAAATAAAATAAAATAAAATAAAAAAACTGGCGAGCCCCGCCGGGTGTGGCTCAGCGGTTGAGCATTGACCTAGGATTCAGGAGACAGCGGCTTGATTCCCGGTCAGGGCACATGCCCGGGTTGCGGGCTCCATCCCCCGTCGGGGGCGTGCAGGAGGCAGCCAACCCATGACTCTCTCATCATTGATGTTTCTATCTCTCTCTCCCTCTCCTTTCCTCTCTCTGAAATCAATGAAGATATATTTTTAAAAATAAATAAAATAAAACTAGCACTTCATAAAGAAAAGCAGCTCGGACAGCTCTCAGTTCGGACGCTTGCATGTTGCCCCAGCTACCAGCACGGCGGGTGTGCAACGAAGTGCTTTGTGGGTTTTCCATCTTCCATCACAGTAATAACACACATACACGTTCCCAAGGGCCAATATATAATAAAACTAAAAACCTCCACCTCTTTCCATAGAACACTCAAGTTAGTTTTTTTGGTCTGTTTGTTTCCTTTTCTTCTTTTAAAATGAAAAAACATGCCGAGGAATAAGCCTGATGGCCCCCAGGACAGGCAGGCGCCTGTTCTGATTCATGCTGAGGGGCCAGCCAGCCCCCACCAGTTTCTATACCATGAGTTCAACGCAGTCAAGGGGAAAGACAGCTTAGTGTGACTGTGACTGTGACAGCACTTCTGACCCTGTGGGTTCCCTGGAAGGGCTTCAGGATGCCGAGTCAGCTGATACCACCTGGAGAGCTGCTGGCTGGTCTATTTCCAATTGTTCTGTTTAAATCCATCACATTTTAGGTTGAAGCTCTATCTGGCATGATGGGCTTCACAAAGTGAGCGTGGGAGCGAGCAGTCGCTGTGCCTGGGCAGAACCACAGACCTCGAGCCTACCTTCCTGGGGGGCGTGGCTGTGGGCTGTGGGAGTGGAACGTGCACGCAGTCATCCGAATGGCAGGGTGGGGCTGGAGGAGGGGAGGTTGCTGGGGTTCCCGAGGGAGTTCCTTTTCCACCTGCTCAGAGACAAGGACAGAACACACACAGTCCCGAAGCCCAATTATTAGAAAAGCTGCCGAATTATTATCAGCTTATTACTGCGAAGAAAGCTGCTAGAGTTAGCTTTTTGGGGAACTAGGCTAGTCTTTTTTTTAGGTTCACTTAACATGCTCTGGAAGCCCCAGAGTTTTAAGTATCAACATCATGTTTACTACAGTAAGTCCCCCAGACTCACTATCAGATCTAAGAGACCATTCTGGTCATGAAAGGCAGGCCCAGCCCACCAACCAAATCCAACCTAAGACATACATACCAGATGTACCAAAGACTTTACTGTAAGGTTGGGATGAATCAGATGGGACGTTTCCAGGAGACGTGGGAGGAGTGGTCATGCCACAAACCACAGATGGGCTCCAGAGAGTGGCCTGGGAAGTCAGGAAGGCATGTCAACGATGGGGAATGAACACCAACCACCCAAGGTTTACGTCCATGACCGACGGTCACTTCAAACTGGAAAAAGGCACTTTATTAAAGCTTCATCAAGAGACAAGTTGCATTTTCCAAGTCTAGACTCCAGAGAGACCCAACTGGGTTTTGCTAATGTAACATCCTTAGAAATAACTCTTTCTGAAACAAGCACTGAGATTTTCCCAGACTACATACTAAATCCTGACCAATTATCAGCTTCAGCAGCGAGCACAGAAGGTAGCAGGCACACTAATGGACACCGTACTTGTGGCGGCTCAGCTGACAGCCGTGTCGCAGGGGAACTCAGAGTCGGAGGTAGCTGCCCTGGTGTGCTGGACAATGTTGGCCGGGAAGCGGAGTGAGGGGTGGAGGTCATGCTCCCTGCAAAGAAAGGGAAAGAGCATATGGCATCAGTGTGTGGCTTTCCATTATTCTGACAAAAAACTTTGTTCACTTGGCCCTGGCAGGTGGCTCAGCTGGTTTTAGCATTGTCCTGTACACCAAAGGGTTGCGGGTTTGATTCCCAGTCAGGGCACTACAAGAAGCAACCAATGAATGCAGGGATGGGTGGAACACAAACTGATCTCCCTCTCTCTCTCAAATTAATTTTTTTTTAAAGTATGGTCTTCTAGATCTTCAATAATACTCAGTTCTCTACATTTAAAAAATATCTGAAGGGGACATCCTGGGGGACAAAGGAACACTTCAAAGTGCTCTTTGGACATGAACAACAGGGTTTGCAGGAGAACTCGAGAAGGAATGGCCAGAATCACAGCCTCAGTGGGTGCTGCCACCAGATAAGCCCACACTTTGTAACAGCCCAGTTCTAAACTGTCCAGACTCACTCACACTTAGTGCTACAGCCCAAGGGCCTCACTGCAAGTGTCTGAAAAGTAGAAAGATTCCCTTATGAAGGGGAGCCTAGAAGTCAAATGTTTAAATCCATTTTCTTTGTTAAGCATACGATCAGGTAGGAGATCAAGGACATGGGACTAAATTAAACATGAAGGCGGAATTAATCGGGAGAAAATGGAAACAAATTCAAATTTTAAATATTTGGGAAACAACTCGTAGGAGCTGAAGTAAGTCTTCCTCTAGGAAAAAAAAAAAGTCAGCAGAAATCAACGGTGCTTTCCAAAGACAAAGTGGAAAAGCGGGGAAGTGCCAAAGTCCCCTCACCATAGCTATTCTGTGCGTCCACATAAGGGCTTGTGGTGGCGTCGGCTGAGCGAGGAGGAAAGCGGGCTGCATTCTGATGAGACACAGAATAGCCGTCTTCATAGGAGGCTTCCGTAGGGTCCAGAGAGATTTTGGCACACTCAATTACCACATCATGGGTTTCTAATTTCTTCCACCTGTAAAAGGCAAAGAAAGTCAAGAGGTGCAAGTTGTAATGCACGTGATCAATCAAATACACAAGAGTGCTCACTCCAGCCAGCCACTGACCCGTGATGAGCAAAGCACAAGGCAGAGCCGCACCAGCCCGGGAAATATTAATCAGAAACTAGCCACTCGTTTCACAAACCTGTGTCCTCCCCACTTAAAGTGCTTATATCAAGTTGCCAGAAACGAATCTGAAAGAAGAATTTAATCAACAAAAGAGTAGGCCTTGCCTCAAAATAGAACACAAACTATGCAGAGCAGTCACCAGGGAAAATCTCCTTTGGAACACAGGTAATCAAAGAACAGGGCGGCCTGGAAACTGCCAGGTAGCTGAGCCTGATTTAAGGTTTCCTATCAAAGCCTTGATTCCAGACAACAAATGCAGCCCAGAAAGTCTCAAACCTAGAGAAAGCCCACGAGGATATTTGAAGAACTGTCTAGGGTTCCTGTTACGTGAGCCACAGTTCACTGCAGAGAACGTGGCCTGTGGAAACACACATGCATCATAATGTACACCAGCGCTCAGCACAGCACAGCACAGCACAGCTCGTGATGGAAGGAAGAGAGGAAGTAACCCAAAGTCCAACCAGAGAGAGACTCCGCACAGGAAAAACTGTGACTCCTCAATGAAAAAGCACAATTTCAGCAGGTCAGTGCTCACCAGGAGGGGGGCTGGAAGCAACTTTCTGAGCAACAATACATTCTTCTATTGTGACTGTGACTTTTGTCAAAACTTAACTGATGAATTTCATTGTATCTAAATTATACCTTAAGAGAGCTGGTTTTAAAAACTATGCTTTCAAAGATTAAATGACATAAAATGACAAAGATTAAATCAGGATATAATCTTACATGAGTAAAGGAAACAAAACTCCTCAAGAGATGCACAAACAGATATGACTAGCTAATAATTCAAGTTAAAGGAACAAGACACAGGTGATGCTTCTTCCCTCCTCCTACTCCTTCGGTCATCGCCAAGTGCCCTAACAAGGCCCTGATAATTAATACATTTACTTGCTCAACTACAAACTGCCTTCCTTTTAGACAACACAATTTTGCTCTACATGTTTCTAAGTAACTAGTAATCAACAGATGTTCTCATCTTTGTGTTCTAAAGCTAACAGAAAAACAGTCCAGCAGCACAGGGGCACCCCCTGGGTCTCCCCTAGCAATACATCCCATCCTACATGACAGTTCTAGGCCGCTCAGCACTGACTCCTTGATGCTAAGAGTGTGACGTCAAATACAGGATGAAAGCACCCGGGCTATGGGGACGTGAGGCAGCTCCCTAGGGAGAACCTTGGCGTTCCCACGTAGCCTCTTGGGTCACCATACAGGTTAAGTTCCCAGTGGCAGCCTGTGGTACTGGTGCTAGTCTCCTCCTGACACGTTCTCAGTGTGGCCGGAAAGTGATTAAGTGACAGCAAGAGTCAGGACACATATGTACACACAGGAAGACTATCTCAGAGAAGAAAATGAGACTCACGACAAAGCAGGAACATTTTAGTTTAATCAGAGTAACAGATGCACTCACAACAATTCCTTGGTGGTTAAAGGGATTGTTCATATTTTAGTACCTCTGAAACTAGGAAGCATAGGCTAACCAGTCATTTGTTCATTTATTTGGTATTCTTTCCTTCTCAAATGTGCTTAGTACAACATAAGTACATCCTATATTCAATGGCACCTTAGATTCAAAGCAATATGACAGTTTAAAGTCAGCACAGTATAAAAGGTCCCTCCCATACCTCTCCCTCCAGCACTCTGGCAGCTGCTTGAACTGTGACCCCTCCGCAGTGTTTCTCAAAACTATACCCTATGCTTTCAGTTTCCTGATGTCTGAATGTGACACATCATCTATTATAGGTGAGAACTTAGGTCACTTCCATGTATCTCTTTCCCTCCTCCTCAGTGCTCTCAAAATAAATATACCACTGTTTTGTTCTTTGTCAAAATTGATTTTCAACAACTATTATGACTACATTAGTACTATTTACTCATGATCGAGCCAAAGTTCTACTATGACAATAGTTATTTTGCTCGATTTACTGTCCTGGTATTGGAATTCTTCTGCTTTTCTTCAATCTTCTGTGTATCTATTCCTAACTCCTCTTAAACTTACTCCAACAGCTCTGAAACAATGCCTCGTATAAGGTCTACATAAACACATGCAAACGGGACGCCAGGATAATTCACCCTCTCCCAAAGAGCCTCCTTCCTGAGGTATCCTCAAATTCGCCTTCCCAACCTTTCACTGAAATGCTTATCTGGGATATCACTTTTCATTTTCAGGAGCTCTTTCTTGCGTCTGACTCCTCCCTCCTGACCTGGGGATCTGCGCCCGAGCGCCTCATCTCCAGAGCTACTGCTGACAGTTCCTGCTGCTCTGTAGGATCAGTTTCTAGCTCCGCCTCTTCCGCTTTACCTTGGGTCTTATCTTTTGAGTTGGAGCTTTCTTCAAAAGCCAGATAACCCCTGCCTGCCTACCGAGGTGAGGGAGGCTCTGTAAGTTGACCCAGGAGGCTTCCAAGTTAGAAGAATAGACTGAACACACACATCCCACTCTACAACCTCCGAAAACCCCTGAAAAAAAACAGCTATCAACATTCTCACAGACGAGAGACTGCACCCAAAGACAAAAATGGGCCACTGTAAAAAAGGAGCAGAGAACAGAAAAAGCTCTGAGGTATTAGAAACAGAACTATAATAGGATTAAAACTAAAGATAAGGGCATCTTCAGGGAACAGAACAAAAGAGCAGAGAAAAAAATGGGAGAGCAAAAAGGAGCAGAGAACATGTCAGGGGTCCCAATTTGAATACTAGTTCTAGAAAAAAGACAAGAGACAACGGAGGAAAGGAAACCAAGCATAAAATAAAGAACATTTCCTAGAACCTGAAGAATTTCCAGACTGAACAATGAGAGCAGACTTACACCAAGGGGCATCACTAGGACATTTCAGAATATTATGGAACAAAGAAAAGACTGCAGGCTCCCACAGAGGAAACACAGCAAACGCGATGATCAGAAACCAGCACATCTTCAATTTCCACAGCCGCACTGGAAGCACAGTGGAGACACTATAATGCCTTCAAACTGCTGAGTGGGAGAGACTCCTAGTCTACCCCCAGCCAAAAACCTGCATCCTTTACCCAGAAACTACTGAATGATATAACCCATGAAAACAATAGCAAACCAAGAGGGAAGACACAAGATACAGGAAACGGAGACCCTGAGAGGACACCAGCGAAGGGAAATCCACAGAGAGTAAGATGCCGGCTCTGAGCAAGACAGAGACAACCCGTGCAGATCAGAACAGACATCGAGGTGCTGCTACTGTACTGTTCTGAACCGAGGGACACAGCGCCTAGGTGACCCTGCCCCAGATAACTCACGTGTACTTAGTGTGCCCTGATTATGCACTGATGAAGTCCCTACGCCCCCTCTCTGCCTGGATCAGCTGAGGACATTCATTCCATCCCACAGAAGGAGTCCACACTGACCAATTCCTGGGAGCAGGATCAGTGAGCCGAGAAGCAGCAAACAGAGAGGTCTCCTCCCTCTGCAATTATTTCAGCAGCTCATCCAACTCCTGGTCCTCACTCTAGACCTTGCCAGGTGCTCTGGCTAAGGAAAGCCTGTCTTTCCCAGGACTCCCCCAGAAGGGGCTCCTGTAACCTCTGAAGGAAGGGACAGCTGGACCAAGACTGGGACACTGCTCTTGCTCTCATCTCCTGGGACCCCTCGCTCTCATGGCTCAAGAAGCAGAATCTCACTCATCCCCTCCTTTCAGCCTGACTCATCCTCTGCCATGCCCGGTGTTCTCAAATCAGGAGCCTTGCAGGCTGTTTCTCCAGAGGACGGAATGGACCTGGGAGATTCTGCAGGGCTCCACGGAAGATGGCAGTCACCTGGCGAAGCAGGAGAAAGCTCCTGGGGAATCCACACTCAGCATCCAGATTTTCCACCGTCCACCTATTTTCAGACACACCCTCCTCTCCTGCCTCACACCATCACTGGGCCCACCAAGCTCGAAGCCCTTCGGGGGGCTCTGCGGGGCTGGCACCCACAGTGCATCCCCTCTGCTAAATGAGCCCTGGCTGGTGTGGCTCAGGTGGCTGAGCATCGTCCTATGCACCGAGAGGTCACCAGTTCGATTTCCGGTCAGGGCACATCCCCAGTCAGGGTAAATACGGGAGCCGATGGATGCTTCTCTCTCACATAGGTGTCTCTCCCCCTCCCTCTCCCTTCCTCTCTTCTAAAATCAATAAAAAAAATTTTAAATAAAATAAATAAATAAATGAGCTATCAATTCCTTGTCTCTCAGGAATGTTTCAGACTCAGTGGAAGTTTTCACTGTCCAAGTCCTTCAAAAGGGACTAACGCTATAGCAGAAGAACCTGTATTCCCCATTAACTTCTCAAGAGGGACGTCTCCTAGGTCCCATTTTCAATCTCTCAGAAGAGTGTGAAATATATCACTAGTGTGTTTCCATACCTCCGAGGGTCCAGTTCATGGTCCTTGGATCCAGTCACTAGTTCCGGGTGAATCCGCACATGCTCCATCATTGGCTAGAAGAGTTCGGTTGACAAAAAAGAGGCTTAACTTCTGTGGTATCTCCATACAACAGAGTATTATTAGACCAGAAAAAAGAATAGATACTGATATGCGCTACAACACTGTGTAAAGTGAAAGGAGCCGGGCACAAAAGACATGTCACATGACTCTGTTCATGTGAAATGCTCAGGACAGGTACGTCTATAAAGCAGAAAGCAGATCAGCAGTTGCCTAGGGCCGGGGTGGCAGGTCTTGGGCTGGGGGGAAGGCGGAATTTCTTTTCAGAATTCCTATCTACCATTTAACACAAAAGTTATAAATGCCAACTGTCTACAGAGTTCTCACTTACCTTGACCACTTCCTCAAAGGTCTCCAGGTTCTCCTTCATGCTGTAGTGGGAACGTAGAAAGGAGACAAAGTTGCAAGGGTACATTCCGTAGAGGCGATGAAAGAGAGCATAAACACTGGTGTGGAGATGGACAAGGTAGATTTCCGCCACGTGGCCTGAAAAGGAAAGCATCGAGGGGAGACTCTCAGCTAGACACAGACTGATGGTGCCCAACAGACATGCCTCCAAAGCTCCCGTATGACTCCCTGCTGATGGACAGTCCCACTTTGCCCCAGAGAGGGGGAATGGTTTTCTACAAAGCAAATGTGAGCACACCAGACACCTCTGCGGAAAACCCGCTGATGGCCCCCATGGCCTCTGGATATACTCCGCTCTACTTAGAGTGATCCACAGGCTCTTACTGAGCTAATCTCTGCTTCCTCTCCAGTCATCCCTTGAAAAGGGCCCAGACGTTCTCTCCACACTGAACTACCTTTATAATGACAGTCACTGGCTCTAACGTTTCTGATGCTCCTTGTCCACAGACTGCTCAGCACATGCTTCCTGGGAACGTCTCTGTCAACTCACCTCTGTACTCTCAGTGTCCTGCACTGTGCTTGGTGCACAACAAGATTCAAATATTTGTGAACAAAGGTGTGAGAATCTTTGGGAAAGAGTATGTAGTCTTCGCTATGCAAATTTGTAACTACATAGTGAAAAAAAACATGCTGAAATTAGCTTTATAAAGAGCTGACAGTGGCCCTGGCCAGACTGGCTCAGTGGTTAGAGTGTTGGCCTGTGTTCTGAAGGGTCTCGGGTTCAATTTCCAATCAAGGGCACATATTTGAGTTGTGGGTTCACTCCTGGCCCGGTCGGGGAGCATGGGGGAGGCAACCAACTGATATGTCTCTCTCACATCTACGTTTCTCTCTCTCTCTCTCCCCTCCTCTCCCTCCCTCCCTCTTTTCCACTTTCTCTGAAAAGCAATGGAAAAACATCCTCCAGTGAGGATAAAAGAAAGAAAACTTAATGTAGCCTTGCCTGGACCCGGTGGAAACGGCCAAGCCCACAGTGTACAGAAAGCTCCTCCAGAGAATGAACAGACCATCCCTGCCCCCAGGGAGAGCCAACTAAATAACCGGCCAGCACCACAGGGGCTTTGCTCAGAGCCACAGGATTCTGTTTCACAGGGCTCACAGCTAGCTCATGCCTGCAACATGAGCATCTCATGCTGGGAATTTCATGTGCGTACAGCTTCTGAGTGATTTTGATAGAGCTGTGCTACCTGCCGAGGTGTGACAAAGCCCACTGTGTTTGAAACGTGAAAGAGCATTGGAACATGCTGCATTCTCCCTCCTCCCAGACACAGGACCAAGTTCTTAGAGCCAAGGGTCTATGCTCTGTCATTACAGAGCAGCAGACTAAGGCAAGAATGTCCTACAAGCTTAGTGCTGGCTGCCTGGCATGGACTAGGGGGTTTACCGAAAGTCAGGAAGCTTTACCTCCTACTACTCCATTTCTCTGAGAATGAATCCTTTAAGCCAACAGAAGAAAGGCATCTCGACAGGCATGCCTCTTGTTCCCGCCTACAGTGGACGCCACAAGCTAGCTCCTCATCTAGCCAGTGACAACACCCACTTCAGCTACCGAAGTCTACGTGTCCCCCCTTACAGCTCACGACCTGCCATCACTACTGAAAGCATCCACCTGGTAGGATACGACAGGTACAGAAGATCTTTACCTGGTTTCTTTAGACACCATGATGAGAGACGGCCAAAAATATCAAAGAAATCGTGAAGGTGCTGTTTCCCTGACTGTGGAATCATTGGTAGCATGGTTATCAACACTAAGACGCCCGTTGTGAGGACGATGACATCCGTGTCCATCTGTGAAGGAAAAGCCGAGAAAGAAAAAACACCCGTCAGGCGTAGCACAGCACATGACAAGGTTCTGAAACCAAGGGTCCCAAATGAGAGGCTTGCTCAGACTCATAACCTGTCCCTAAGTCCCTAAGGGTTTGGAGGGACAACACTGCAACAGACGCCACAAGAAAACTGCTGAGGACCAGCTCGCCTGTAGGAGTCTGCATCTGGACACGTGTCCGGGAGAGGAGTTAAACTTGGCAGAGCGACTCCCAAGTCCTCAAGCCAGAGGACATTCCACTCACAGCACTCAGAGGAAGCTGAAGAAGCTGCTTTGTAACAGAACAAAGAAACGCTGCTTTTTGTTCATCCAACCAAATCCTAAAACACTTACCTTTTTAAAGTCAATTCAAAAAAACACTACACATTGACAAGTAACACACTATTTTCAAAAGATTACAACAGAAATGTGACTTAAGAAGAAATTAGTTTAGCACTAACAAGTGTACTTAATGGCTCACCTTCACAGTATTTAGAAATCAGCAAATAAAAGACAATGTGATGTGGAGCCCTGGCCGGTTTGGCTCAGTGGTTAGAGCATTGGCCTGAGGACCAAGGAGTCTTGGGTTCAATCCTGGTCAAGGGCACATGCCTCGGTTGCAGGATCCTTACCCCAACAGGGAGCATGTGTAGGAGGCAGCTGATCGATGTCTCCCTCTCACATTGATGCTTCTCTCTACCCCTTTCCACTGTCTCTTAAAAAAAA